CATGCAATATTTTCTTATAGGTACTGAACTACTGCAGCATTATGGAACTGATAGAACCAGTAAGCTGAAAAATCCTGCAACTTACTGGTATTCAGTCCACTGACACCTCAGTTGCACATAATTTTTACAAGGGAAAAAGATCTGCCTAAAGTGTATTAGAGCAGATATTAATGATACTTTTAGGGGAGAAAAAAGAGAAGGTTCATCTGTGTGTCCTGGAGCTGTGATTGTTGGCACCAAGATCTGATTCTGTTGGAGGAAAGCAGCGAGGACAGGAAAGACAGCTTCTGGCTTTCATTGTGGTAGGGAAGGCTGTAACCAGGGCACTGCCTTCTGCACCACTCAAGGTCTGGAACACTTCTTTAAGCACCATTCAGTTTAAAGCAATGTTTTAAATGTACCTCTGGTCAAAAGCTCAAAGCAGAAAGAAATCAGGTGTAGTGTTTTGATGACTAAGATATTTTCACTAGACAAAAGCTAAGATCACTGGATTTCACTCCTAGAGAGGATCATCACCAAAGAATGAACTAAAAGACTTTTCTTTATTTAAGTCTTTAAGCCGGCCCAAAGAAAAGCGTATGTTCCACCTGAAGGCAGCATAAATGCAGAACCAAAGCTGGGTGTGTCTTTTTCCCTTGAATCCTCAAGACTGATTACCCCGCCGGTCAGCAAAGGTGAGTAATGCTCCATGGCACGCACACGTTATCGTAGCCCTGCAGGACTTATCTTCATTGCTCTCTAGTGTACATTCAACTTCTGCCACACAGGTTAGATTTCTTCATGAACTCAAACAATTTATTAGTGTTGCCAGGAGTGTTTTATCATGACTACACTCAAACCATTCCGACGGAGCATGTCACTGGAGGAAGTGTTACGCATGAATCCGCCGACTTTCCTCTGCAGAGCACTCACAACCAAGGCTGGAGCTGGAAGTGCCCTGCTGAGCTAAAGCATCCGCAAAGTGCTGACAGTGCTCTAACACCGATCAAAACTGCAGATACTTGATAATATATCTGTAGGCTGCTCAGCTTCTATTGAGAGAACTTATTGCTACAAACAATAAAATAAAACAAATAAAAATAAGGTAGCCCATATTGTTCCAGATAAACCAGGGCACAGTTCAGGAGGTGGAGGCTGGTGAGCTGTGCAGCCTTGCAGAGAGGAGCCATGAGAGCCACTTCCCGGTCAGCCAGGCCATGGCCTTGCCTGTTGCATTTTCTGGTACAGATGTAGCCTTTGGTGTTCACTCTTGTATGTTTAAACTGTGTAGCTGCTTCTGCATTTGGAGGTGGGATAGTTGTGAATACAAAGATTAAGAATTTGACCCACACAAGCCAATCTAGACCTTCAGTGACATCCTGTTGCATTTACAGGCAAACATGAAAGCTAACAAAGAACCTCTGTCATTTGCTCAATAGAAAAACGGAATCTTCAAGCGATGTTTAGAAAAAAATATCACCAAGGTAACAAGGAAACTAATCTAACAAATACTAAGAAGAGAAAGCAGAATGTTCACTCTTAAATGGACTGTCACAAAACACCGTCAGAGATCTGGGCAGTGAAATGTACAGCCCAGAGATGTAACTGCAGCAGGAGCTCTTGCTGTATTCCTCTTACAGGGGTAAGCTCTGCCCTACAAACACAATTGATTCTTACCGAGTCTGAATTTTTTTAATGAACAAAAGATCTTCCAAATGATACAGCTGGTGGACTTACATGGTCATAAAAATGGTCATAAACATTTTTCATTACCAGTTACACCCAAGGAAGTTCAAGGTCCAAAGACAATTCACAGCATCCTCCTGCAAAAAAAGTTCTGCCCTGAACGCTGATCACTGTGGTTTGGAAGATGCCTGTTTTCAGAATAGCCAAGTGTGACAGCTTAGCTCTTCACCTTGATCCAGCACGATTCAGACTAATCTGTAGCATAGCAACTTACAAAACATAGCAGTATTGAATCCCTAATATCCCAGGTTAAGTGTCCTCAGAAACCTGAAGATACTTCCAATAAACAGTTTAATGCCTCCCGAGCTCAGTGTCTCACCAATTTCCATGCCCCAGGGCTGAGGATCAGGATGTACAGGAGCTGTTTGCACTAATACAAGCACTGTGTGTTAATTGTTCTCCCTGGCTGGCTGTACATTAATAATACACTGAAGCACTGCAGTGCAGTGCCCCAGGAGGTACACCTACGTACTGTCCCCACGCACACTGCAACACGCGTCCTGCAGCACCAAGCAACCAGCTTCTTCCCCTGATTTTCACTTCATCTCCACATTTGCTGTATTGAAAGTATACACCACAGTCAGCTTAGGAACCTGACTACAATTAGGAGTGTTGGGTTTCTTTGATCTCCTGTCAGTGACCGTAATGCCCGGGTTCGTGGGCACGAGCAGCACTCGTGGGCTGGCAGCCCCTGTCCAGGCCACTGAGGAGGCAGCAGGGAGACTTCAGCTCTAAGCCCAGCCACACAGCAGGGCTGGACGCCCATTACGCCGGGAGCTTGATCTGTGGACCTCAGCATCTCATACGTTAAATAAAGTGGGCCATGAAGATTCCCAATATTCTTGTTCCTATTACTTTATTTATGGACAAAGCAATACTCTTTCTGCTTAATTTCAACTGTATGGAAAGGCAGAGTTCAACTTGTAACGGTTTTCTAATAATAAATGTATATTCAATGCAAGCTAACGACAACAACATTCACGTTCCAATTACAGTATGCACATTGCTTTGTGCTTACTATAAAATGAATTAACACAGTAGTTACAGATGCCTCCTTTCTAACAATATACACTGTTCTAGACTGTCCTGAGGCCTAAACTAATGCTTGATCAACAGAAATATATACTTGATCGCAAAGATAAATATTTTAAGTCTCTTGTCACACATAGTCAACTCTCATTTTCATTTCATACACTGCTCATGGGGGTAAGAATCCACTTGTTTGTTCCAAAGGACTACAGAGGGTACGGCTGCAGGTGTGCTGTTATAAATGTTTCAATGGTTTATTTGTGTTTATCTTTTATTCAAAGCCATAACAAAGCAAGTAAAACTACCTGAGGAGTTTTGCTCAAACAGATGAACAGACAAAAGCCCCTTTCCATTGTAGGGAGTGTGGGGCAATATTGCGTGTGCTGTCTGTGCTGACACCAGTGCCATTATGTGCCAACAGAGGTGGGGTTTATAACAACTGTCCTTCCTCTTTGAAACACGGTATAAAGGTTTACCGGGCACACACAGCTCTTCACTGCGGCTGCCGTCTCTCTGTGCAGATTCAGCCGTTTCGATTTAGAAGCCAAAGAACAGAAATGGCATTTTCTAACCGAAGCTTTCAGTGGGGTACAAGCACCCGCTTCCAATCGACTGCCCCCAGTGTCAGCGGTTTAACCTCCAGGAGAACAGCCATCCAAAAGATTCAGGCACCCAGTGTCTACGGGGGAGCCGGTGGCTATGGCACCCGCATATCTACCAGCACCGGCCACGGACAGGGCTTTGGTGGGAGCTTGCAGCTCAGCATTAGCGGCAGCGATGTGCTGCTCGCTGGCAATGAGAAGTCAACTATGCAAAACCTCAACGACCGCTTGGCTTCGTACCTGGAGAGGGTGCGCTCTCTGGAAAACGCAAACTCCCTGATTGAAAAGCAGATCAAGGAGTGGTATGAGAAGAACACCATCACCGTAAGGCACGACTACAGCTCCTACTTTAAGACAATTGAAGAGCTCCAAAATAAGGTAAGATGCCACATCTAGAAATACACGAATTGCAATTACTGGGGACATAGATAATTTTAAATGTACTTTTCCAATTGCAACTGTCTCAGTTAAGAGAAAAAAACCCGTTATTTTGATCACATACAAATTAGTGACAGATTTTACATCATTTATAATACTGGAGATATGTCTGCAGATGTGAGTAAACTCATGCATTAAAAATCTTTTAATCAGATTAATTAATTATATTTGCCTTAGGTAATTTTAATGAGTGAAAGTACTGATGGGAATTTACATATTTAAATATAGTTTAGTATCTGTGGATTTCAAAGTGTTTTTTTTAGAAAATACCACCAAATGCTCAGAAAAAAATAAAAGATCACTATTTGAAATAGTAAATTACCACTATAAACCACAAAATATCTCCACAGCAAGCAGCCGACAGATTTGTCAAATTATGTTTCCAGTCAACTTCCTTAACTCTTTCCTCTCTTAC